TTTTGTAATTTCGTGTAACTAAATTTTCAAGGTCATGGAGGTATTTTAAGTTGGAGGAAAGGTTGAAAATAATGTGGTTAGCAAGCAGTTTTTTCATTTCACATTGGACATGAGCAATTTCACTTTTCCCAATGCCCAAAGGAAAAAAAAATTCTCAGGTATAAAATTAAAAATATGCCTTCTCCTAATTGCTAAAAGATTAGTAGATATTGAACTAAAATTGAATCAATTCACTTACTGTATTTAAAGATTCATACTATCATATCTGTGTTTAATTTATATAATTAGTGTTTTATCACAAAGCTACATGTTAAAATTTAAAAGAAAAAAGATATATACAAACAAGTACAGTTATTGTGCATTGACAGTTGAAAAGAAGCACAAATGAAAATAATTTTAATGAAGTTTAGTTCTAAAAATTATTTTTAAGTTGCTAAAAATTTTAATATAAGACTATTGAGCTTTGTCAATTTTACAAAAGCTCAGGGTAAAATTAATATTACTTATTTTCTTAAGCGGTCCAAGAAAGAAAGCCTCATCTTCAGCCCTTATAATGTATGTGGATTATTCAATTTTTAGCAATAGAAGTAGGCTACATTTATATTCTGTAATGTTTTGCATTGTTTCCCCTGCATTGTTTGTTTAAACATCATCTTATAATTTTTTCCCCCAATTTAAAGAAGATGCTAGGCTGAAGGAATGGCTTTTTTAAAACACACCTCTTCTGATCATCTAAGAAATTGTTTAAAATATTACTTCCCATCTTTTTGCACCACAATGGCAGTGTTGCAGGTGGGCATTTTAGCACTGGAAAGTACCTTAGATAAAGCCTATCATTTTACTTAAATTGAAATGACTTGTTCATGGCATAGAAGACTTTGTTTTGGGATGTTAATCTCCCCAGTAGTTATAAAATTTATTAGAAAACTTTACTAAGATTAGGAATAATTTTGAAGTTGGGCTAAAGGCGAACAGAAAATGTGGCAGTAGAAGGGAAACAAGATTAACTTGGAACTAAAGGGACTTGGAGTGGAGGTTGCACTGATAGGATGTCAGATTGCTCTGTAACCAATCTTTGAGTGTGGGCTAAAAGACACTTCCTGAGAATCCTTTGAATTCCACCCCTGCCTGCTTCTTGACTAGGTGAGTCCTCTATTAAAATTCTCCCTTAGGACCCGAACCACTTCTTAGTAACCAACACTCATTAAATTCATAATTATTTGTTTGATATTTGTCTTCTAAAGTTTTTCATCTTAGAGACTGTTTTCTTCACTTTTGTTGCCAGCATAGCCCAATGCCTGGTTCCTGATAAATACATGTTGACTAATAGGCCTGCAATACTGTCCATTCAAAAGAAAGGATTGATTGATTGTACCTTCTTAAGTCAAAAAAAAAAAGGAAAGCATAAATACTTTTAGATTTGGTAATAAAGAAGATATCTTAGTCTATAGCCATGCCATCCTGAACAAGCCCAATCCCGTCTGATCTTGGAAGCTAAGCAGAGTCGAGCCTGGTTAGTACTTGGATGGGAGACCACCTAGGAAGAGCAGGTGCTGTAGGCGTAAAAAATAAGGGATTGCAAGCTGACAAGGTCCTTGCAATCTGTGAGGTCAACCAAAGGTTGCTTCGCCTTAAAAAAAAATAAAAGGTATCTTGCATTTCATTGATCAATTTGGTTCTGAGATTTGATAAGCAAGACTTAGTCTATTTTAGCTTTATAATGTAAAGTTACATATTTAAATTTTTTTCAGATCCATAGTAATGGTATGGATTAGAAAATAAATGAGGTTTCTCTCTGTTAAACTATTGACTATAACAAGAAAATCCAAGCTCATGCCCAGTAGCAATCTCTAGAGAGAGGATCTGGGGATAGACCTAGGATATCTTCTTCAGAATCTCTTATAATATTAAGATAATTCTTTTGTAGAGTTTTCCATCTGATGAAGGTTGGCCATTTGCAAAATATCTTGGAGCTTGTGGAAGAATGGTGGCTGTAAATTATGTTGGAGAAGAACTGTGGAGTTTCTTTAATGCACCATGGGAGAAACGAGTTGACCTCGCTTGGCAATTAATGGAAATTGCAGAGCAGCTTACAAACAATGACTTTGAATTTGCACTCTACCTCCTGGACGTCAGCTTTGACAATTTTGCAGTTGGTCCTAGAGATGGGAAGGTAATCATTGTGGATGCTGAAAATGTTTTGGTTGCTGACAAAAGGTTAATTAGACAAAGTAAGTATACAACTTTTAGATTTGTTTTTTGTACACTTTTTTCTGTCAAACTAATGTTTTTTTATGAAGCATACTTTTAATTCCTTTCTTAGATTTCTTCCATGCACCTTTGTTTTATTTGACCAGTGTTAGTAAATAAATACTGATTTATTATACTTGTACATATAGTCACAGTTTCTTCATATTTAGTTCATATTTAGTTTTGGTTTCTTCATATTTAGTTTCTTCATATTTAGTTTTGGTTCAGTCAGACACAAATATATAGGCTGAGTGTGTATGTATACATATCTTTTTCATGTGGTCTGCTATATTCTGTGGTTTAGGAGTCTAATGCAAAATTAAGTTTATATATACTAGTTACAGGCTACCAGAGAAATTGTAGTGCTCTCAGAGAAACCAGACTTTTTTGTGGGATCTCTTACAGTGATTTTCTGTGTTCCATTGTTCTATGGGCTACCTACAGTGATTTTTTTTTCTTTTAACCATTTGCATGATTCCTAGCACTGCAAATCTCTAACTTTGGTTTGACATTATTACATGTCACCCAACACTTTGCTCTCCATTTATTTTTGAGCTCTTCACAGTGTAGGTAGGCGGGGTGTCTGAAGTGTTTTGAAAATGAAATGCCAAAGGAATTTTAAAGCACAGGGGGCAAAGCCTTGAGTTCTATAATTAATCTACATAGTAAAAAGAAACTAAAGGATTGTTGCTCTATGGTGAGGGTCTTATATTTTTCATTGCCTCCTCTCCTTTCATATGAGGATCTGCTGATGAACAGAGGCCAAAAATTTGTGGCTTCTGGAAATTCAGTGAATATAACAGCAATGTATTATGTTGACACTCTTTGCTTGATCTTAGCTTGATTCTATTAAATACTCGATTTTACCAGTGCCTTGTTCTGATTCCGTACTCTCCAAACTACTTTCTGATTATTTCTTAACAACCATGTGGCTCCTCCTACAGGGACTGGACACCTTGCTGGAGTGCTTTCTTCCTGCCTTTGCTCTTCCTACATTTGTAATGTTGCAGCAGCTTATACTATACTTTTCTTTTTGAAGTGTACAATCCGGTGGTTTTTACTATATTTACGGAATTGCACAACTTGCTTAAACTTTTAAAATATTCATTCTAGTGTTTGTAAAAAAAAAAAAAAAAAAGTTGTAGTTTTTTTGATGTGGACATTCCTGGAATACATGTTACAGTTTTATATCAACTAATTCCTGACTTACAAACAACCATATAGCTTCTGTATTCGTGCGTTTCATATAATGAGCATCGCTCCAGAGCTTTTTTAGCTCTGTCCAGTTCTTTTCAAATGTCTCATGGTAGAGCTGTCTAAATAGCCACTTTGCAAAAGACCATATCTATTTATTCACCTTTTTTCCTAAACTTTCTCTAGTAAATGACCTTTATTTTTTTCCTTCACCAGGAAATTGAGGTTTTGATGTAGCATCTCCCTCAGTGTCTCTTTATCTTCTAAACCAGTAAAAAACAATACACATTCATCCCTCTTTTTCAGACAGAGTAAATCCTTCTTTGATAACTTGTTTCATCAGTTATCTTCTTAAACTTCCCACCTTCCTTAAAATCCAATTTCTCATTCCCATAAACAAGTTTGTATAAAACTCTTTCCTGCTTTCCCTTGCCTTGCTTTTCAACTCTTTTTAAAAGTATTGCTCACTCTGTCTCTACTTCCTCAGCTTCCATCTGTTTTGTCAACCACTAAAACCTGACCTTAGAAGTCTCCTTTACCATTAGAAACCACCTAATTGGCCAATTCCTCAAGTGACTGATTAGTAACAACTTTCTGAAATTCTTTACTCTTTTGGTTTCCTTCCACTCACATAGTTGCTTTTTTTTAAAACATAAATCTGATCTTATTGCTCCCTTGTTTAATGCTTTTAATGACTTCCCATTATTCTTCTGGTAAAATTGAAGCTCCTTGCCTAGAGCATAATCTGTTTGACTTGACCTATTCTACTTCATTTTTAACATCTCTCTGTCCATTGTTGCCCATGATGCTTCAGCTACAGTGGCCTTTCAGTTTCTTGAATGAACCTTTTTACTTCTGGGCTTCCCTTGTGCAGTTTTTTCTTCCTAAAATGCCTCATCTCTCTTCCATATGCCTCTAGCTACGTGTCCTTCAAGCCTTAGCTTAAATATTACCTCTAAGAGAGACTTGACCACTATATCTAATGTTAGAGAGGATTGATTCTTTCAAAAACCTTTCTACTGTTAGAAACTGCTATTTCCTTCAAAGCATTTCCCACAATTTGATAGATAATGTTTGTCTCTTTACTCACTTAATGTCTATTTTACACACGCAATTGTAAATCATTGAGGGTAGGAACCATGGATTATCTGTTTTGTTTACCATTATATACCTTGCCTGCCTTAGGATAGGCATTCAAATAATTATTTGCTAAATGAATGTTTCTTTCACTAACCTCTCCTCTACCAACCCCTTAAGGTTTTAGGTTCTGCCCTTGGTCTTTTTTTTCCCCTTCGCTTTCAACATGCTTTCCAATACAATTAAGCTGTTCTCTGGCTACATCAAGCCTTGTATCCAGATGCATTCTAAATATGCGTATATTATATGTCTACCTGAATATCTCATAGCCACTTTATATTTATTCTCTTTATATAAAAGATTAACAATATTATGTTAGTAGTGTCTACCTTGTCATTCAATTAGAATCTTAAACTTTGCTCATACACTTAGCTGTGAAATTTTGTTTCAAATGTTTCTATAATCTGGCTTTTTATTTCTGGACCTCTATTAGTTGCTGTCATCATGTTAGTCTTTCCAATGTTCAGCCTAAAGTTGTCTTTCTATAAAACAAATCATGACCATGATCGCACAAGGTACAACCTATTCCTTTAGCCTCATTTGTATCCTCCCCAGATACCTGCTCACACTCTAGCCACAGTGAACTTATTGTTTTCTGATCCAGCTGGACCAATCTCTTAAGTCCATGCCTTTGCATACCATACCCTGGGCTTAGAACGCTGTTTTCCCTTATTATTTTTTCCAGGCTTGCTTATCTTTTAGGCCTAAATCAGATATTCTCTTTGTAGCCTTCTACAGCCCCTGGCAGAAATGGTGCTTCCACTATACTGCTGTAGCATCATGTCACAGTTCTGTATGACACTTCATATGATGGAAGGTTTCCCTCTAGACCGAGCTCTTCAGTGGTAGGGACCTTGTCTGAGCTTTCTGCCTGGCATTGGTGTACTCTCAATAAATGTTTGTATATAAATTAATATATTTAAATGTTTAAAATTGTAATACAATTTTAAGAATTAATACTGCTGTGTTAGTGAATTGTATATTTTGGGAAGCAATGAAAACTCTTAAAATGTATTTTTCTTTCTGCTTTTCCCCCTTTTACAGATAAGCCTGAAAATTGGGATGTGTGGTACGAAAGCAAATTTGATGACTGTGATAAGGAGGCTTGCTTATCATTTTCAAAAGAAATTCTTTGTGCTCGTGTCACTGTGGACCACAATTATTATGCTGTTTGTCAGAACCTTTTATTTAGACATGCCACCTGGCGTGGCACTTCTGGAGGACTCCTTCATGATCCACCAAGTGAAATTGCCAAAGATGGCCGGCTAGAGGCCTTGCTGGATGAGTGTGCCAACCCAAAGAAGCGCTATGGCAGATTCCACGCTGCAAAAGAACTGCGTGAATATCTAGCACAATTAAGTAACAATGTGAGGTAGTCTATGGTGAACCTTTCTTTTCTCCATTTAAATAGCACTGGCTAAACTAAACCACCAAAAACTATCTAGAAGAAAGAAATTTGAAAGTAATACATTCAGAGGATGATAAACTTGCACTGATAGATCCTATGTTAACATCCATCAAAATAAGACATTACTTCAAAAATCATATGATTCTGCAAATAAGTTTGTTCTTACACTTTGGAGACTTGAGCTGTCATTGAGTGCTTTGTCCGTCCCCCCTCTTCCCCCACCAATGCCTGAGTGCATTAATGAATATCGTTAAGCTATTGGAAATGAATCTGATAGTTACATTGGCTTGTGTATCAAAGGGTATTTGGTACTTGACTTAGTTTGCATTACTATCATGATTTTATGAATCTCTTGCATTTACTTTGAAGGTCAAGTTAGATTGGCCTGTTTTATAGGCCACTTTTCCTTCTGATATGTAGGGGTTTTTTTTTTCCATTTTTATGTTTTTCAATTTTATACATTCAGGTTACTATAGGAGTTCATTTAAATTTGGACTAATTTTCATTCAGTGCTATGCGGTACATTTTAACTGTTAGGGCAAGATTCCCAGGTTTACTGTGTTTTTTCAGAAAGCTGAATATTTTATTATGTAAATACTTCTATCCCCACTTTCTGTGGTTTCACCATTGCATGAGATCATTTAAGGTTATTTAACAGTTACATCACTCATGCCAGTAATTGTACACTAAACATGAAGTTTGGCATATGTTGCAAAATGTTATTTTGTCCTTTAAAAGGCTTTAAGAAGAGAGTATACTAGCAATCTTCACCTTGATGTTCATTTTGATTGTGAAAAAAAAAACCCAGTATTTTTAAAATGCTAACTAGTCCAAGATAATAATGCATATGCCAAAGAAATATTAAGCCTAGTCCCATGGTTAGATTTTAAAATTGGTCACCTACTCATTCTTACTGCCCCACTTCCAGTACTTTAACAATGTTGTTTTTAAATTCCGATCTCCCTGGTTATTTTTTTATGTTGAAAAGTTAAGCTACCTGCTTGAAGATATCCTCTTACCTTTTATTCATCAGTAGTTTTGCAAAAATTAACATGGTAGTCGTCATTTGAGTTTAATAAGGTATCATAACTTTTTAATTGACGGACTAGTAATTTTTACTGTACGCAGACATTTTAGCCAGTCTGCCCAACTTGGTCTTCATTACTCAATTTTTAAACATCAAAACATCTAAATTTACGTATGTGGGTAAAAATTAACAAACTTGTGATATTGTGGCCTATTTTAAAAAGTTACAATATATATTGACTATCACTAACAGTGGTAATTTTCTCTTTGAAATCATCACTTTTGTTTATGGCAAAGTTTGGTATAGTGTGCAGTATTTAGTTCTAGATTGACCTTATTCTTAATCACAAAGTGATCAAAGTATGTACAACCAAAGCCAGCCAGGTTTTGTCTTGTTTTGTTTTTCATTCATTCAGCAACTATTTATTAAGCATCAACTCTGTGCCAGGCACATTACTGGCTTCTACACAGTCTGAATAAGACATGGTTAAGTAACTTTACAATAGTTATCAAATACTTTAATGTAGGTATTTCTTAAGTTGAAATAGCATTCATTAAATTAGGATGATGCTTTCATGTTATTTTACTATTGTGTTGGATATCGTCTTGGACCATCTATAACTGGGTTGCTATAAAAAGAGCAGGATGAAATTAATAAAGATAATTCAATTTAAAACTAGAAGAAGGGTAAGATCTCTCCAATATAAAATGGATTACAGTACATTAACTTTTATACATCAGTATATTACATATATCAACTAGCCCTCAAACATTTAAGTGCTGGAAATTTTACTTAAGCTGACTTTTTACAACTTTAGAAACTTTTGAGGGGAGTAAGTAAAATTACTTGTCATTTGCCTCTTACTCAAAACTTCAAGTAAAATACACATTTTCAAAACGAAGCACCTTTTATATTGATAAGTGTTCATTACAAACCTTAGAATGCTAGTCACAGAGGAGTTGTCTTTCTGTGGTGTAGCAAACGTTTATCTTACTTTTTGGAAGAGTGTGATTGCAAGACAGGAAGTGAGAAAACAACTGCCAGCAGTGATTGCTACTTGAAGTAGTTTTTTATAACTACCATTCCCCCCATGCGGTTATGTGAAATTTCTTTTATCTTTGGACAAGGTGAAGAGAAGATAGTAAATGAATTAGGAATTTAAAATTACAGGGAAAAATATATATGTGAAAAGCAATAAATATTTTGTTCACTTTGCTATCAAGATGTTCACTATCAGATATTTATTATACAGCAGCAATTTATATTTTTAATCATTGCCCATTAATAGACGCAGTAAAATATTTTTGAATCAGACATTTGGGGTTTGTATGTGCATTAAAATTGTCTTTTGTACTGTAAGTTACTGTTTAATTTGAATATTTTATCCAAACTGTCTCCCTGTGCCTTTACAATATAAAGTTGTTTCTACAACTTTAATGATCTTAATAAAGAATACTTTAAGAATCACACTTGTCAGACTTTTCAAATACCTAAATTTTTCTTGAGTAGAAGTGAGGTTATGTAGATAGGTTATTATTTTTTTTCCTCTTGCATGTATTTTGATATAATTTTCAGAAACTATCCGGTTGGATGTGAACTGGATCGAAGTTGTTTGTGTTTAATTCTTTTTCAATAATAATGACATTTTCAACTTTTACTATTAACATGGTGTTAAAACTTTATTAGTTTTAAGTTTAATTATTAGAATTGTTTCAATGTATACAAGAGAATAATGAACAGTAGTATAACTGGTTAATACTAACTCAAAAGTTAACATGATGTGGCTAAACTTGTTTCATCTGTACCCCAACCTACTTGACTCCAGCTTATTTTGAAGAAATATAAGAGATATATCATTTGATTCAAATATTGTACACATTAAGCATTTTCTCCTCCAATAAAACCACAATACTATTTCACATCTAAAAAATTAACAGTAATACTTCAACATCACTAAAGTAGGAAAGCTCTCAAATGTTGTTTTCTCAAAAGCTCAAGATCCAACTACAGGGGTTCTAAACCTATAGATAGGGAGTATTAGATATTATGATAAGCATAATATCTAAAATGGATAGAAACATATTAAATATGTAAATTATACATTCAAAATGATAATAGTAACCAAAAACCAAATCAATTTAGTCATCTTTGGAAGGATATTGAGGAATTCTGAAAACTGGCAACTCGGAGAGAAAGCATTCTGCCTTACCCCAAGGTAATCAAGTAATTAATTAAAGGGGGAAGAATATGTAGAAGTATTCCAGTTAATAAATACAAAAGAAATGTTCTTAGAATATCACTGTTTTGCAGTTCCTAGTTAATTGACAAGAGCTAGGCAACCATCATCAATGGCTGCTAAAGCTAATTATTGAAAAGCTGTTGAGGAACTTTGTATGAAAGGATAGGGATGCCTGGACCTGAACTTACTGGTCAGTCTTAATGATGTGCTTTCTAGTAGAACTCTTTGAAAAGTACCTAGTACCACCTATGAAGTATCTTGCCAGAAAAAAAAAAATTCCTGAATCTGATCAAGCCCCCAGATCTATTAATGCACAAAGGAACATATTAAAGGAGCACCACGGGATGCAATAAATGAAGTCCACAACATGGGCAATTTTACAGGGTAAATGACTTGGTTTTGTTTAACAAATTGCAATGAAAAAGATAGGGGCCCGTTTCATTAAAAGGGACTTAAATGTAAATGTTATCTATCCTGGTTTGAACAAATCTACTTAAAGTGGAAACAAATTTGAACAGCTGAAAAATAAGGTGACTGGTTGGGTTACTTCATCTTTAATTTTGCACTTGCTTTAATATGTGGAAAACACCATAAAAGTACCTATTCTATACTGTAGAATATTATAGGTATAGTTGATTATACTAAGCTGTGTGTCTAAGTTTTGGATAAGAATATTTTAGTTATTTTGCTTTTGAAAAGTATTTGCCCATGGTCACAAAAATAGTAGATCTGGGGCTCAACTTTGATTTTCTGATTGACTACAACATTCTACTATACTACGTTTTAACTTTTAAGACCCAGAAGCATATAGTTGAAGGCAAGATCATATTAATTTAACTGTAAAAACTTTGATATGCATTTCCTCAGTTATTAAATTAGGGGAGAGAAAGATTCCTAAGGGCAAGGAGAGGTAGAGAAATTCCAATGAGCTACAGACAAGGTGAAACAAAAAGTAAGAGTTAAGAGAGAGACATGAGGAGAGGAGGGTAGAAAACAAAAATTTTAAAAAAAGTAAGATCTTTTTCCTTTTGACCTCAAAACTTTAGGCCCCTCATGTATATATATAGATTTTTTAGATTGCTCTTTCCATTATGAGTTTACTAATATTCTGTTTCCAGTGTGGACGAAAAAGGGGCCACCTACTAAACCTGACAACCTTAGGGGAGGCCTTCATGGTAGGCCCTACAAACTCAGACCAAAAGTAATCACGTAGGATAATGATCTGAACATATAATTTCTAACTAAAAACTGATTGTGGAGGGTAGTCACATCCTAGGGCTTTAGCTTCCTTCACATAGGTCAGTCTTCACCTTAAGTGAGCCTGTCTTTTTTGTATCTAAGAAAACATCTATGAAATGTATAAGAGTAATCTCCCTTTCCAGATCCCTTAGGGCACAACCTCCCGCCAGAGCAGAGACCGCACAACCCCTTATTTTTATCTCATTCCCAGTATGCCATCTCTGTGAGCTGTAAATGTTAATTATTAACTACCTGTACCCACCAATGTAAAAGAAGTAGGTGTCTCTTTATGTTACTTTTATCCAATCTCAGTGATTTCCCCACTTTGCTCTCTCCCACCCACTTAGTGTACCACGAGTGGATTTCATGTAACTCTCCTTACCTTTCTTCCTTCGATTCTAATGTATAAAATAAGCTGTAAAACTGCCATTTTTCAGAGCATTTTCTCAATCTATTAAAATTTACTTCCTGGCAGTTGTCATGAGTTTGGCTCAAACTCAAAAATTTTCTAGAGGTTTGGATGATTCTTACAATGACCCTAGGGATCTACCTCAGCCTTTTATTTTCGCTTTCTTTATCCTATAAATATTGTTGAAACTGTAGTCCATGTCTTGTACGCTAAGTTTTAAGAATATAGACTTGTAAGAAAGTCTAGTTTGTAAGATGACAAACCATTAAAAATAAGCTCAACACTTATTCAGTCAGTTGTTTATCCTAAACAAAATTTAGGATTTTGTTAATTTTAGCTTTCCTTCTCTATGCATATCTCAGATGTTTAGGTAACTCAGAATATTGAAAGAGGTCACCTATAGGCTGTTAGATGAATATGCAACTAGCAAAAGCAATGTGCTTTCAATAGTTTAATCCTGGAATGAACCCAATGACCCTCTAATGTCATTAAACAGTCTCACTAATTTTTAATTTTTCTTTTCGTATTTGAAAAATTAGTTTTTGTAATGTGTTCCTTTTTTTTTTTTGCCTACTCCAATTACTTAACTATACTTTCAATATCCTAAGGACTTCTGAAAGTTATCTTCCCATTTTTTTATATACTTTTGAATTTTTGGTTGGTGGAGAGTCATGAAGAAAACACATCTACCCCAAATTATTTATTTTCTGAGACTCACTTCAAAGGGTATGTTTTCAGTTGTCTCATCAACAATTCCAAAACTCAACATTTAGAGTTTTTTTAATCAATGCCTTTATAATAATACCATGTGTTGATTTTCTTTGATTTCCTCACTATTATTGGAACATTATATGTATTTTTTGTGGTCCTTTTATGTAGTGATTTTAAGACATAACATTTCTAAATATTTGGCAAGTAGAATAAAGTAAGAATTAGGAGAATTTGCAGGCAGAAGATTTTAGTATTGGTGTACTCCGAGATACAAAGTTTTGAAGATAGTTCATTCCTATCTTTCTCTAGCACTAATATTCTTTACAAAGTCATTTCCTATTCTTAAAGACATAAGTAGAAATCTCAAACACTTGTTCTCCATGGAAAAATAATGTTTCTCTGATATCATTTGAGAAAAAACAATTAAAAAGAAAAGACAGACATCTTTGAACTGTTAAAAATACATACTTAGGTATTTCTGAGAGGGAGAGTTTGAATCTTGACACTTGCCAGTTGTCCCCTTAGGCATATTATTTAACATCTATGAGATACTGTTCACATTCAAGAAATTTTCTTTGACTCCATTACAAGTTTACTGGACAGATGGGGTAATATATGGGGAAACAGTTTGTAAGCTGTGAAATTCTATACAAGTGTATTGTAACAAACATTGATGGTTTGCCTAGAGAGGAAGAAGACTTTTTTCAAGGATTAATTGGCCTCTTGCTAGCTGCCAGTGTACAGCTACCAATGACTTTTACCTCTTTATAACTTAAGACTGTAAACTAATTTTATCAGGGAAATAGGCAGCATGTCTTTTTAGAAAACCTGCCATTTAGATGAAAATGCTAAAGATATGATTCAGCATGAGAATAAGTTTCCAGTTTCTTGTGCTTTATAGGATAATTTATAATTAACAAAGGGAAAAGAATCTTAATTTTTCGAGGAAGGAGGAATGATCCAAGACTAATTACTATTGTCAAATTTTCATTCTTTAAGCTTAATTTTTCCATCTTTTGTGGAAATAGCAAAAAAAAAAAAAAAATTAGTTACCATGATAAGTTATGGCTACTTGTTTTCATGTCATGGTTCATTAGAAATCTTTATCTGATCAAAATTAAATGAAACCAGTATCTATAACTTAAGTCTTACTGACAGTTCTCAAAAGAAGAAACAATGAGAGCTAATGCAAAATTTGCATGCTGATTAATCAAATAAACCACTTCATCTCTACCCTCATTGGAAGGACTCAGTACCTGTAAAAATGGCAGAGGGTCAAATGAAGTTTTACTTCTTGACTTGACAGAACATGCGTCTTAGGCCAGGATTTAGCAGAAAGACAGGGAGTGATAGGAGGCAAAGAGAGAATACCCTCTAGATGGATCCAGACATATTCTTTGCTCTTCTTGATGCCTACCTACAACAAACAAAACTTTTGAAAAGAAATACATGCATATATGCCCATTAAAATTACCCTTCTCCCTCTACCCCATCTCTTTTCTCCTTCAAATAAGTAACTGCTGTTAATTCTGTTTGTGTCGGATTGCATTCACGTAAACATACATATAAGTTTTTTTATATAATAGAGATCACACTAACTACATAATAGGAATCATACAAGTCTTCAATTGGAGATTATACACACACACACACACACACACACACACACACACACACACACACGCATATAGTTTTTTTCATGATAGGCCTCAGAGCCTATCAGTCGACTACTTTATTCTTCTAAACCGGGGGTCGGCAAACATTTTCTTTAAAGGCCAGATAGTAAATATTTTAGACTTTGCAGGCCATGTGGTCTTTGTTGCAATTACTGAACTCTACCATTGTATAGCACAAAAGCTGCCACAGACAGT